AAAAACAAACAAAGCAAGCCCTGAATTCTAGGAAAGAGTCCATACTAGACTGTCTTCTAGAGCTTTCTAGGATTAAGAATTAAATAGGATTAAAATAAGAAATATTATAAAAATCCAGGCTTAAAACTTCCATTTGGTACTGGGCAAAAAGCCTGGCAATTAAAAGTAACTTGTTATCTTTGAAACAAGACAGATGCACACAGGCACTATTCATGGTAGCCTGCCTTTTCTTAATACTAATGTAGTCAGGAGGAAAGAGGGCAAGCGATGGGAGGAGAGCTGGTCAGTAATCCGTGGAGGCATTCACTCATTCCATTGCTCCTGACCTGGAGGAGTGTGAACTTTGACAAAGAGCTCTTTCCTACTACTCTAGCAGAAACACATGGTTAACTACAGCTTTATTTTTAAACTCAAAAGAGTAAAAACTGTTGACAGCAAAACATTTTAGGAGATGAATGCTAGTTAACAAATGCTAATAGCTTTGTGTAAAATTAAACTTCAGGGTAGAGTTCTAATTTTAATAATAACTGCTGTAAAAATGTATAAAACCGTCAAGAACACATGATTAGGGGTAGGGGTACAACCCAGTGGGAGGATGTTCTTCCAGGATGTTCTACCTTGAGAGAAGGTCTGAGAAAACTGTGGTTTTCTACTATATGTGTGTGTGTGTGTGTGTGTGTGTGTATGCGTGTATGTGTATCACATTAACATTTACACACAAATATCCATACAAATATATTTACATACACTCACATATATACACATGTATACGCATACACGCAAACACACACATATATTTTCCAGCCTCAAAGTTTGCCCTCAGGGGCTCAAGCTTGCTTGACATGCTTGCTCAACTGGCACTCTACCACGTAAGCTATATCTTCAGTTCAGCATTTTGCTGGTTAGTTGGTGATGGAATTTAATGGACCTTTCTGTTCAGGTCAGCTTTAAACTATGATCTCTTGGTCTCAGCTTAAGCCAGTGGAAGCCAGCAGAAATATTAAAATGTACAAGTACTGTAAGGAACTCATAAGTCTTTTATTTCCTGATGAAGTAATATTACTAGTTAAAAAGAAAAAGAAGCTGGATGTGGTGGCTTACACTTGTAGTCCTAGCTACTCAGGAGGCTGAGATCTGAGCATCTTGGTTTGAAACCAGCCGGATTAGTAAAGTCCTAGAGACTCTTATCTCCAATTAACCCCCAAAAGCCATAAGTGTGGCTCAAGTGGTAGAGTGCTAGCCTTGGGCAAAAAAGCTCAGGAATAGAAACCAGGACCTGAGTTCAAGCCCCAGGACTTGCACACTCTCACACACATACAAAAGGAATGTGTACTCACTGACTTTGTGTGTTGGCAATATGCACATTAAATCGTCCTTACCAAGATAATTTATCTCTACCTGAAATGAATGTGTTGTCTGCCAAGAAAATAAGAAAATAATAATACACAGGAGGGACCATTTGCTCAGAGATGTCTCCCAGACCTCTGGCTGATGCTACCCTATGTCACCCCAGCCTCTCAGCACCTTTTCAGACCTACCTAAATACTGACTGAGCATCTTCTTAACACTCAATACAAGGATGACAGATGGAGCAACTGAGAAAATAAAATGCTGATAACTTGCACAGCTTGCTCCGAGTATAGCTTCCGGGTCTCCAATCAATCAACATAGGCGGATATGTAAGAACTTCTGAGCATAGAGATATAAGCAGAATTTTTTTTACACTACAGAGGTGTGGGTCACTGGTGGTCAGAAAATTAAACATGGAGGACAAGAAACAAATTGTGTTCCTTTAGCTGCTAAGGAAAAATGGCAATGGAAATAACAAGTCTACTTGTATCTTCATCCCTTGGTGACTCCGACATTCTGATAATCCCAGATACATGGATATGGCAAGGTTTTAGTGTGCTTTTCCTGCAGTGTACATTTCTTCCATCAAAAAAGAATTCCCAGTGTTCACAAATAGCTCTTTTACTTTTTAATGGAGGAATACGCTTTCCCCACTTTCTTCTCTTTTTGTGCCAACACTCTTGCATACAGCTGGCACTCTATCACTTGAGCCATGTCTCAAGTCCAGTTTTTTTGGTATTACATTGAAGATGGAGTCTTGCAGACATCTGCCTGGGCTGGCTTCAAACCATAATCCCCAGATCTCATTAGTTAGGATGACAAGTGTGAGCCATTGGCACCCAATGTGAGCTTGTATACAATCCTGGCTGAAATTTTGCATTGAAATGTTTACTATTTCTAGCCAGGCAGAAAAAAATCTATGAAGCTCCATTTCTAATTATCCAGCAAAAAAGCAGGGTTGGGCATGGCTCAAGTGGTAGAGTGCCACGCCTTGATATCATACTCCAGTGACCTCAGATAAGATGGGAGGTAGGAGGGTTTGTAGACCAGCTCATTTATATGACAGCCACTTGGAATATATGTTAAAATGATACCTATTTGAAGACAGGCTTCCTCCTGCCCCCCAGCTGCTATGTTTATTTAAAAAGTCAGGCTTCTGACAGGATCCTGCAACAAGGGGAAGTCCCAGGCTAGATGATGGAAAGAAAGCAATAGTAAAGAAAAAGAAGATAGCTACCTCTAAGCCCCATACAAAGACCAAGTCCCTTGTTAACCTTTCTATCTCTACATATTGTGCTGTGTGATTATGTCTGATCACAAATCTAAGGGCTCTTGGTGGCTTAAAAGATGGTGGTGAAAACCAAGCTCAAATATAATAAATGCTGACATGAACAGGAAGGGAAGGAAAAGAAAGATGGGGGCCTGGGAGCAAGGTAGGAAAACAGTAAGCAAGGACTTTGCCCGCTTGTCACCCATGGACAAGTCGTCCTCCAGGGCCATGCTGTAGAGGAGAGCTAAAAACAGACTGGATTATGGAGCCCCGTAGGGCCTGGCATACCCTTGCCATAGGCCTGCAACCAACAGCTGAGGACAGCTATGTCACAACCAGTCCACGAGGATGAGCTGCCCAACACAGCAGCAGGCCCAAGGCAAGGCCATATGCGTACAGAGCCAATGGATGTCCCTGTCCTCATGAAGCCCTTTGTGTCCCCTGCACCTGGACTAAGATCTGGACATGAGGTTAGGGTGTCCTATCTTGGTTTCTTCAATGCAAACAGAGTGTAAACAAATCTGGGAGGATATCCATAAAAATGGCCCACACCATTACTGTTTTATTGACAAAACAGTCACTAGTCTAAAGTAAGACAGATGAGTGGTCCTGCCTCTAAGAGGATTTGACCCCAGAGTTCAGACAGCACCAACCACCTCCATGTGTCTCACAGGAAAGCAACAAGACCCTTTGGGTCATGATTCTGGATGCCACTCTTCTCACTGACCCTCTACCTAAGGAATTTTCTCTCCTAGTCCCAAATATGAAAAAACCAAATGGGGCAAATTTCTCTATGTCTTTTCTGCCCTTCCCATTCTACCTTCTAAGAAATCTCTTAAAGGCTAACATTTTAAATTGAGCTAAGTACTCTGAATTGGTCACTTTCTACTAAAAGTGGCTTTTGAAGGACTGCTCTCAAGTTTCTGCTCTTCAGAGTTAAAAAGCACTGCTGTGCTCCATTCCCAACAGGTCCCTCACTACTGTGATGGTGAGGAAGTTCACAGAGCTTCTGTCCATAGAACAATTCTATGTGATGTTGTGCCAGCTGCGATAAGCTCAGAGTTCATGTTTTAGCTGCAGTTTGCTTTCAGTGTGCTATGGGAACCCCAACAAAGCTGCTGACATCATAAAGGGGGTCTAGTTTCCACCAGCACAAGGCTCCTTATGCTTCAGAGAATGGACCACGGTAGGTAGGCCCTCTCTCTTAGGGGCTGTGCATTCTTTTCTGATCAGTCAGAGTGGGGGAAAGTGAGCTTATTATACTATCCCACTCAAAAGGCAATAATCTAGAGCATGTGCTTACATCTTACAGAAGAACCTGAACCAGTAAAACTTCAAACACACTGAATGAACTAGGTAGACGGAGTATTTAGGGAGATGTGTACAAAACTGGCTGAGTAGACCTGTAAGGCCCAAACCAAGAGACTACCTTGTTGTGAAGCTGCCTCGGCCTTCCAGACAAGCCCAACCCACACAACCCTCCAATTAACCACCTGCTGGAGGAAGATCTGCTGCCCGCCAGACAAGTGGCCTCATCCTTGATTCACTTCACATCCAAAGCCCATCTCAAGCCAGGGATGTAGCTTTCTTTTCAATTCAGCTCGTAAGTGCTTTTATACGCCGTTCAGAAATGAGCTCAGTAGAGAGGTCTGAAGCTGAAATGACCTCAGGATTATATGATTTAAAAAAAAAAAAAGGCAAACCAAGTCACAAAAAAGCTGCATCAGAAACCAGGTGCCATCTTGCTGAGAACCCTCTGTGTGGTTGGGACAGACAGAGCACAGTAAATCACCCCTGCATGGGATGGGAAAGCAGTGTCTCTAGAGTAAAGGCGGTCAGAGAGAAGAGTTGTACCTCAGAGAGATACAACTTTCAGGAGTGAAAAAGTCCTTTCCAGATTCTTCCCCCTTATAATGGAGGCTGCCTGCTGACTTTATCCCAAATCCTACTCACCTAACCACTGAGGGTAGGTATCTTCACAGGACCTGGAAGAGGAATGAAGGGCACCCCAAGGTCACACTATAAAATCGACTTCCTCACTGTATGCCTTTCCTCCATCCTGGGTATGAACAAGCCCCCAAGTGGCTACTAGAAATCATGGACATACAGAATCCCGGAAATAACATATTTTGTTTCCCCGACATTTTACAGATCCACAACTAATAAAATACAGCAAAGATTACAATGTGGAATAATAAAAGTTATTCACTGGGGTTGGGGGGGGGAGATTTTTTCATGAAATGTCAGATGTGGGTGGCAGTGGGAAACTGAACTCAGGGATAAAATAAGCGCGGGTTGGGAGAGGGGGAGACAATGATTCATTTCCTTTCCTCCCAGGATCCCCCCCACTCCCCAGGCCATGGGCAAGCCGGGCACTTACCGAGGACTCGCTGTCCCTAATGAGGAAGTCGCCCTCGACGCCCCGCTCGTTGAGCGCGCACTCGGCCTGGTGGCGCGTCACGTTGCCATAGTACCACTCCCGGCCCGCGAAGCGCCCGCTGGACGAGGGCCCCGTGTAGCTGATCTGCGGGGCGTGCGCGGGGTGCAGGGCTGGCCCATCACTGAGGACCACCACGTAGTTCTTGGGGACAAGGCCCACCTGGCCCCGGGAGTTTTTGCATTTCCACCACTCGGGATCATTCTCGGGCTTCTCGATCACCTCCATGGTCTCCCCCTTCTCGAAGTTGAGCTCCTCCTCTGTGACCGAGCTGAAGGGGTACAGGGTCTGCACCACGTGCAGCACCCGTGCGCCCTGGCCATTGCTCATGGCGCCGCCCCTGCGCAGGCTCAGGAAGCTCGGGGCCTCCGCCGCCGCCTCGTCCACCTCCTCCAGCACGTAGTTGGAGGGAAACCAGCCAATCTGCCCGTTGAAACTGCCACGCCACCAGCCATCGCTGCACTTCTCCATGACCGTGACGCGCGAGCCCTTCACCAGGGATAACTCGTCCTCCCGCTCGGCCACGTAGGCGAACTTGACAAAGGCGGGGATGTTGAGGTCATAGATGCGGTCGGCGCCGCTGCCATTGGCGGGGTACTCTGCATCCGTGCTGGGCGTTGGGGATGCGTCCCGTGCGCTCGGCTTCCTGCGCGTCTTGCCCAGGCCTGCGGAGACAGGGCAGGGACTCAGTGGGCACTACGCACCGGTGGGGCACCTACCCAACTTCCACACTGCCAGGGCGCCTGGGTATGTTACCAAGGGGACAGTAGAATGGTTACAAATGGCAGTGCCCGTTGGGAAAACCAGGGTGTCTGTTGGTGGGTGGTGAAGTTACTAAAAACTTAAAGTGAAATTCTCCTTGGCCCCAGCTGGCCTGGGACACAGGATGCAGTAACAGAGGAAAAGATTAACTTTGCTTCCGAAAGGCTGGTCCAGTTTTAGAAAGCCACGGTGTCAGTTTGGGAGAAAAATATGGCAGAAAGGCACAGAGAAATATCATCTAAACATTCTAAACAGGAAATTGAACTGAACAAATTCAAAGATCTGGCCCAATTCTGGAGGGGTCGTGTCTTAGCAGAATTTGCACCCCTGCCCCTGTACCTCTCTTCTCCCCTCTCCCAGGCTGACTGTGCACCACCCTACCTGCCTGGACATAGGCTGGCTCTTCCTGCAACTTCCATGTCTCTGCCTTTTCTTTCAAAACAGGGGACTAATTTTCCACAACAGATGGTATATGAGTTAGTAAAAAAAAAATGAGCTAATAAACATTGTGATTGAAAACGCACAAGTGGGTCATCAAATGAGCGGAATGGGCTATGGTCTGCTTGTAGATATGTAAGGGTAAAACACAATCTCAGAAAGCATCGTGGGTAAGATTAGGAAGGGTTCTTTAGCTCCATGAGAATGAAACACATTCTGCACAAAAGAAAACAAAGTTTAAAAAGTCCAAAAGTGAAAATGCTTTCACCCTGCTAGTATGTACAGAATTCCAGGAAAGCATGTTGGTGGAGCGCTGGGAACCAGCCCTGCAGGGTGGTGGGGGAGGAGGTCACTGGCCTCACTCCTTAGCTTTTCCAGACACAGCTACTTACCAGACAGCTCTGCTTCAGCCTTTAGTCACTGGGTTAAGTTAGGGTGGTACAGGCACAGTAGGTGCCAGTAGCTCACACCATAATCCTAGTTACTCAGAAGGCTGAGATGTGAGAATGTGCATTTGGAGCTAGCCCAGGAAGATAAAACCTTGAGTCTCATGTCCAATTAGCCAGGACAAAGCTGGAACTGGAGGGTGGGTTCAAATGATAGAGTGCCAGCTGAACAAGCAAGCAGAACAGGCCCGAGGCTCTGAGTTCAAACATATGTATTGGACAAGAAAGAGGGAAAAGCAAGACTACAATGGTACAGTTTTTTTTCTTTAAACTCAAGGCCTGGGGCTTGCTCAGGGTTGCTTGCTCGGCTGGTGCTCTACAACTTGAGCCAGGTTTGCAGCCTAGCTTTTTGCTGGTTGTTAAGTCTCACAGACTTTTCTGCCCAGGCTGGCTTCAACCCATCCTCTGGATCTCTGCCTCTCAAAAAACTAGGATTACAAGTGTGAGCCACTGGCACTAGGCTCATACCTTCCTTCTAGCTTACTTTCCTCTCTTTATTTTCATTTTTTGCCAGTCCTGGGGTTTGACTTGGGGCCTGGGCACTGTCCCTGAGCTTCTTTTGCTCAAAGCTAGCACTCTACCACTTGAGCCACAGCTCCATTTCTGACCTTTTCTGTTTATGTGGTACTGAGGAATCTAACCCAGGGCTTCACGCATGCTAGGCAAGCACTCTACCTACTAAGGCACATGCCCAGGGCCCTCACTGTATTTTTTAACCTGCAATAAGGCTGATTCTAAGAAATACTTCTGCTTTTTACTTTCTGCTTTGCTGAGCATGCAGGAGGTCAATGCATTAAAAGCTGCAACACCATTGTCCAGTGAGGCTACTGTCCCTAGGACATGTCTAGGTTCAGAGCCTGGAGCAGGTGAAAAGTGGCCACTCCCACAGGACTGACTTAAAGGGAACACTCCAATTCATTTAGATAATGACATCTGCTGTTTTCTTTCTTTTGTGTATGTGTGGGGGGGTCCGGTCATGGGGCCTGAACTCTGGGCCTGGGCGCTGTCCCTCAGCTCTTCAGCTCAAGGATAGCGCTCTACCACTTGAGCCACAGCGCCACTTCCGGCTTTTTTCTTTTTGCTTATGTGGTGCTGAGGAATCGAACCCAGGGCCTCAGGCATGCAAGGCAAGTGCTCTACCACTGAGCCACCTTCCCAGCCTGACATCTGCTGTTTCATTTCAGACCACATTTGACTCGAGTGCATGAGAAAGGCAAAATAGAGAGGAATAGGATATAAAGTTCAAATTTAGATTTCTACATAGGGCTATCTACCTTTATAGGAAGACAGGATATGCCAGAACTTACAACTCATTTTTTCACATGACTGCAAATGTAGGATAGTTTAACTATATGATGAGAATACTGTGATAATTTTATAATCCAACAGCATACAGTACAGGTTGAATACCTCCCAGTCCAATAATCTGAAATCCAAAACTGCTCCAAAATCCAGAACTTTTTGAGCACTCACATAACATTGTAAGTGGAAACTTTCACATTTGACCATGTATGATAGGCCTACCAAAATATAGATGCATTAGTAAAAATTATTGCCATTTCCCCTAAGGAAATATTGTATAAAATAATCTCCAGGTCATGTGTATAAGTCAGTTTCTTGGCCAAACTTATAGTTGTAGCTCCAAACAAATCTTATGTAAACAAAAAATACTATAAAGTATGAAGAAAAAAAATACCTGAAATATAAAACACTTCTGGTCCATGGCATTTTGGAGTAGGAATTCTTTTTAAAAAAATTGTCAAGGTGATGTACAGAAACGTTGCAGTTATATGTAATGAGTACACTTTATTGTCAAACTTTGTTACCCCCTCCTCGATAAGGTAATGCTAAGCAAAATGAACTCCTACATATGGAATCAAGAGGTTTTTGTTGTTGTGTGAAATTATTTTTTTCTTCCATCTTTCGCCTCCTTTGGTTTATCCCCTGTTGTCACTGTTTTTGATTTTGGTACTCTGTGTATCGTATATACAGTTATCTGAATTGGGGAAGGGAAGGGAAACAACAAAATGGTGAGACAAAGGACAAAGGGTGAACCAGTGCAACAGTGATACTCACAAGACATATATTCAAAATGAACTTTACAACATGGGGGGGGGGGAAGAGGGAGAAAAACAACAAGAGTAGGGATTCTTAATTTTTGTACAGAAGGCAGTGGTGTCCAAAGCTTGTCAAATAGGCAGAAAAATCTCTCAGCAAAGAACATGCTGATGTAGCCATGACCAGACAGAGTGCCATTTTGATAATGATGATGTCAGGAAATAGTACTAGAAGTATTTTAATAGGCCTTGTTAAATGTGTGAGTCACCAAAACTACCTAAGAGGCAGGTCTTACACTCACCAAGACATGAAGACACTGGGGCAGAATCCAACAGAACAGACACAGACACTGGCCATCACAATGAACTGTTGAAGACATTTTGGAACTGACTTGTGACTATGCTGTTACTACTTTCAAAAACAAGGTAATTTCAGTGAACTCGGGCAGCAACTGAGACTTTACAGAGTGAGATGAATAGACAGATGTGCTTGCTGCCCACCTGGAACTCACATTCCCTGCCAAAGATGGAGCTCTCCGCACCAAACAAATGATGTAAAATGATGTGAACTGATGTTAACTGGGTCACAGGATGGCTTAGGGCAGGGTCTGAAAGAACTCCAAGTTGCCCATGGCATGTCTGCTTACTTTAGCATCACTGTATGAAGTTATTTCCTTACTCCTACAATATAAGTAATACCATGCTGGTTTTCTTGGACTGTCCTAACACAAAGAGTCAGAGACTGGGCACTTAAACAGCAGACCTATATGTCCTCAGAGTCTGGAGGTTTGCCTCTTCTGAGAACTATTCTTCTCTCCCTGGCTGCTCCCCTGGTCTCTCCTATACACCTTTATCTCTTCTAAGAACATGTCACACTGGGTTGTTTTAACTCATCAATTACCTTTTTGAACCCCTCTTCTCCAAATACAGTCACAGTTCTGAGATAAGGGAGGACAAGACTTCAACCTGTGACTTTGGGAGGGATACTGTTTCACAGGTCCTAGTTCAAAGGATTTTTTTTTTTTTTTGGTCATGGGGCCTGAACTCTGGGCCTGGGCACTGTCCCTCATTCTTCAGCTAAAAGCTAGTGCTCTACCACTTGAGCCACAGAACCACTTCTGGCTTTTTCTGCTCAAGTGGTGCTGAAGAATTGAACCCAGAGCCTCCTGCATGTAAAGCAAGCAGTCTACCCCTGAGCCACCTTCCCAGCTCCCTAGTTCAGAAGATTTGTATCAAGTACACAACTGATCTTAACCAAGTGACAGCTTTTAATTCCCTTTTACAAAGAACACAATTTTTCCAAACAATGCCCAAAGTCCTCTTGAAAGATGCTTGGCCATGATCCCAGCCATTGCCAGACGGCCACTGAGCTAGAAAGTGTGCTTGCCATGCTTTTGGCACATAGAAGCAGATATCCACCCACCAACAGTAGCAATGACATATGTAGCTGCTGGTGCGGTGAAATTTAAGAGGCAGTCAGTCACCTGGAGGTCAGAAGGGACTCAAGCATTGCTGATAATAATGTTAACTGTTATAACAGTCCTTGATGAAACTAGTATTGTCCTCTGTCAGTAGTCAGGAACTAAGACTGGAAAGGGTTGAAGAACTGAACCTAATGCCCTCAAGCCAGTGAAGTGGGGCAGACCAATGTAATCAACCAAAGCCTAGTTAATCCATGATTTTCAAGGTACCAGTTCTGTCAGAGATTGGTATGTTTTTTTTTCTAAAGAAAACACCTCTGAGACTTTGAATTGAATGTCAAGAAATTACCAACTTCCCTTCCCTGATCTTAGGGGATGACATGGTTCCAAGTAGGAGTAAGCCAAGGCCCAAGATCTGGGTTAAGAGATGTGATAAGGGTCATAGACGTAGTGCTGGGTGCCGGTGGCTGACACCTGTAATCCTAGCTACTCAGGAAGCTGAGAGGTGAGGATCACCGTTTGAGGCCAGCCTAGAAAGGAA